CAGAGAGGTGGATGCTGGGTAGCCAGGGAAGATGAAGGCGGGGCCCAGAGAGGTGGATGCTGGGTAGCCAGGGAAGATGAAGGCGGGGCCCAGAGGGGGGCATGGGAAAGCCAGATGCTTCCCACCTGTCTCAAAGAGACACAGCACAAAAATGACACGAAAGGAGAGATCACGGCAAGAGAATGGCACAGCTACGTGAAGGGGACAAGATGGGTGGTAGGTTTTAATGGTGCCGCAGCAGAGAAACACGCAGAAGGAAAGGGGAAAGGGCTTTATGATAGAGGAAAAGGGACTTCAGTATCTTAGAGGACGCAGAGAGAATTTGGGAAGATAAGGAATTCTCTGGATTGGAACAAAGGGAGGCTGAGGCTTTTATGGCCTTTGCCGGGGTGGGGCTTGAGGGGGAAGTTTAGATAGACCTGAAGAGCTGACTGGGGCCTTGCCTGAGGTGGAGAGAAAGGTGAAAGGAAAGTGCAACCTGGGCTGAGTTGGAGAAGAAGAGGGGAGGTGGTCTTTGGGAAGATGAGCTGTTGTTTTAAGGGCTTCAGCCATATTAGATGAGCACCATAATAATTCAGCAATTCTTACTAGGGCCAGAACCTATCGATGGACAGAAAGTACCAGCAGCCTGTCTCTGCTCACGGGCGACACCTGCCTATAGGACCTGCTGATACCGCTGTTCGGGGTGCTAGAATCTGGAACAGCTGCATTCCATAGTTGGTAGTACCCTTATGCCACCTCCAACCTCCTGGCAGGCAGCTGCACACATGTCCCTGGAGGAGGCGGCACCAATCCACAGGAGCCAGAGCAGTGCAGAGGCAGGTGGCCATTGACATGCCTCCATTTCCAAGCGCTGCCAGAGTTGGAGCCTTTTCTTTCTTCTCCATTTCTCTTTTTCCCTGTAGGGAGCCAGTCATGAAAGACTAGGTAGTTGGAAAGGAACTCACTAAGCGAGAAAAGCTAAAAAGTGACATCTAAGCGAGAAAAGCTAAAAAGTGACATCTAAGCGAGAAAAGCTAAAAAGTGACACAGTGTGCCCTGGGCAAGATGCAGGCTCAGAAAAGACAGAGAAAACCTGGAGTCAGCACCTCAGGCTGATTCCTGCCTCATCACAAAGACAGCTCTCAACCAACACAAAACAGTAACAATAAAAACAACACAAACTGTGGGCAAGGGAGAGAATCTGACTCCTAGAAATTATGACATTAATAGATTCCAGTGTCTAGTTTTTAACAAAAATTTCAAGGATTAGAAAGAAACAGGGATTGGTGATGCATTTAAAGAAAAGAGTAAGTAGAAATCGTCCCTGGAAAAGACTGGATGGCAGGTATGCTGAGCAAAGACAAACTAACTGTCTTTGAGATGTTGGTAAGGGAAGATGTGGGTAAGGTCAATGGCAGGATGAATAAACCAAACACAAATATGACAGAGACGTGAAATCTAAAGAGAAACCAAAATGAAATTCTGGTGCTGAAAAGTACAATAATGAAAATGATTTGAACTGACAGAAGACTCAGATACTATACCATGGCTGAGGGCATTTGTCACACTGTAGACTCTCTGAGGGACATGCTCAGGACCAGGTGACAGGACAGGACACCAGATGATGACTTGAGCTGGCAAAGAAATGATCTGTCAAAACAGATGACATATGGGCCATCAGGAAGTTGTGACATTCAGGTGGCAGAGGCTAAAACCCCACCTCTTCATGTTCTAAGTGACTGACAGACATTTTGTACATAATTTAAGAGTCTAAGGTATTTTAGAGAACTAGGTTATTTTTGAGCACACAGCATATGAAGATCTAATTTTATGGTATAAGCAACTGAAAGAGGTGGGGACAGATCTTTAAGAGAAGAGAGATTTGATGTCATTGATGTTAAGCTGGTATAAATTCAAATCAATGTGTTATAACTTTAGGATGCTAGTAAAATCTCCAGAGTAACCTCTCAGAAAATAGCTATAGAATATACACAAAAGGGAATGAACATGGAACATAAACATGTCACTGAAGAAATCAATTATGCACCTGAAGACAGTAAGGTAAGAAATGAGGTTCAGAGAAGCTGTAAGGCAAGTTGAAAACAGGTTGTAAGAGGATAGAAGTAAGTCTTCCTCCTGGTATTACTGTAAATCAAGTGGATGAAGCTCTGTGGCCAGAAGACAAGGGTTCACAGTGTGGTAAAAGCGCATGTTCCAATTTTGTGCTGTCCACAAGAGACCACTTGATCCACACACAATCTGGCTGGTAGTAGCAGAGAAGCTGTCCCATGAGAATAATTACTAGAAGAGAGAAGGGAGGCTTCAAAATGGCTTCAAGGCAGGAAAGAATAAAAAAACAAGAATAGTATATTTTAATAAAAAGTTCAAGGGGGCCTGCCCCGTAGCTCAGTTCTTTAAGTGACTGCTTCAACAAAGCAGTCAGGCTCAGGTTGCTGTGGTTCGATCCCCACAACTCAAGCCAGCCAAACCTGCCCTGAAGACATTTGGAGGAAAAAAAAAGTTCAATGTAGCAAAAAGAGCAATTACAAACATTTTATGCCCATTTACAGACCAAAACACATGAACCAGAAGCTGAGCAGATGAAGGCAGAAACTGGGACTCCAGAGACCTCAGCACAACGCCTTGAACAATGGGCAGGAGCAGCAGCCAGGGCTGAGTGAGGCCGCGGAGGACTTAGGCCACACAGTGAGCTACTGAGGTCTGCAGACCCACACAGCTCACATGCAGCCTCTTCCCAAGCCCATCAGAACCTGTGCTAGGAGGTGGCTAAATCTCAGTAGAACTCGCAGTTCTACTGTGAATGTCATGCAGTGTCTTTTACAAGGAGAAATTACCAATTTTTGGAAATTAAACAACACACTCTTCCACAACCAGGGGTTCAAAGAAAAAATCACAGAAGATTGAGAATATACCTGGGAATAAGTAGAAATAAAAATAAAGCCACTAAAATTTATACCCAAAGAAAGGCAAAAGGGGAAATAGCTATAAACACTTGCATTAAAAAATAACAAAGATCTAAAATCAATAGCTAACCTTACAATTTAAGGTAGAAAAAGAACTAACCCAAAGCTAGCAGAAGGAAAGACACTAAAGATTAGGATCAAGATCAGTGAAATAGAAAAGCAGGAGGCAAAGGCAAAGGAACCAAAGCTGGTTCTTTGAAAAGATCAACAAAATTGACCACTTCTGCACTAAGAGCAGATTCACAGAAACACAAAACTTGCAAGGCTGAATGATGAAGGATTTTTTTTTTTTTTTTTTTTGCTGGCTCACGATGCTTTAAGGGCAGCTCTGGTAAGGCAGGAAGATCTGGGGATCGAACCACAGTATCCTGAGGCTGACTGCCTTCACCTGAGCAGGCACTTAAACAACTGAGCTAATGGGCAGGCCCCCCAAGCCGGAATGATGAAGAGAAAATCTGAACAAGCTGTAATTAACATAGAGGTGGTCAGTAACAAAAAGTCTCCCAGAGAAATTCCCTGAGCTGGGCATGGTGCATATGCCTGTAATCCTAGCACTTGGGAAGCTGAGGCATGAAGACTGCTGCTGTAGGCAAGCCTGAGCTACATAATGACCTCAAGGCAGCCCTAGAATATACAGCAAGACCGTGTTTCAACAAAACAAAACAAAATCCCTGGGCCTGATGGCCTCACTGTTTTAGTGCCACTCCTCGGATTTGTCCAAAAAGTGAAGGAGCACTTCCTAACAAGTTTTATGAAGCCAGAATTCCCCTTATGCTAAAGCCAGACAAAGACTAAAAAAAAGAAAAAAGAAAAGAAAAGAAAACCACAAACCAGAATTCCTGATGAACACAGATGCAAAAGACCTCAGTGCAAGACTAATCAAATTCCACCGAGTCTTGGGAGGATGCTAGCCATGGCAGGGTAACTGCTTTGGAGGGTGGAATGGCCCAGCATAAGGAAACAGTTTTGCCTAGCAAGAGCAAGGTCCTGAGTTCAATCCCCGGTTCCAAAAAGAAAGAAAAGAAAGAAAGAAAGAAAGAAAGAAAGAAAGAAAGAAAGAAAGAAAGAAAGAAAGGAAGAAAGAAGAGAGTGTAACCTGTTGTGTGCTAAAATAAAAAAGTAAGCCAGGTGTGGTGGCGCGCACCTGTGATTCTAGTACTCAGGAGGCTGAGACGGGATGACTGCAAGTTCAAGGCCAGCCTGGGCCACGCAGTGAGCTCAAGGCCAGCCCGGGCCACGCAGTGAGCTCAAGGCCAGCCCGGGCCACACAGTGAGCTCAAGGCCAGCCCGGGCCACGCACTGAGCTCAAGGCCAGCCTGGGCTACATAGTGAGGGCCTGTCTCAAAAAGACAAAATGAATAATAAATAAGTAAAATGGACACATTTTAAAAAAAACCTAAGGAAATAAGCCACATAGTCATTTTAATTGATTCAGAAAAAAAGCATTTAACAAATCTATACTTTCAAATAATGACAATACCCTTGGAAAACTATAAATAGAAAGAAACAACCAAAATAAAAAAGTATGATTAGTAATACATAAAACTATAAATGTGTGTGTGTGTGTGTGTGTGTGTGTGTGTGGTACTGGGGAGTGAACCCGTGACCTTGTGTATCCAAGCTAGCACCCACCACTGAGCGACACTTCCAGGCCTCCTTATTTGTTGCGACACAGGCAAAGGGGCTTGCCCTGGCTGTTCTCAAATTTGCAATCATCCTTCCCCAGTCTTCCAGGAAACTGAACCAACAAGCATGTGCCACTGTGCCTGGCCTATAAGATGCTTAAAAGAACTCGTACGCAAAGTTTTACAACATTGGTTGACAATGATTTCTTAGAAATAACACAAAGCACAGGAAACAAAAACAGTGGATTTCATGAAAATTAGAATGTATGCATAAAAGACAGTGTCAGTGGAATAAAAAGGCAGCTCACAAAATGGAGCAAACTATTTGCAATGGAACAAAAAATTATATCTCTAATAAATATGAAAATCCATAATAGATAAAAACTCCTGAAACTCAACAGAAAGCTGAAAGAACCAATTCAAAAATGGTGTAAAACTTGAATAATTGTTTATCTAAAAATGATACAGAAATGGCCAATAAGTACACTAAAACCAGACTGGAAGGCCAAGGCAGAACAGGTATAGGTCAAACCCAGCAATTTGTGTCTCAAAATAAAAAAATAATAATAAATTTTAAAACAATTGGGGATTTAGCTCAATGTGAAGGCCTGAGTTCAACCCCCAA